ATGACAAGTTTGGCCTGATGGTGCTCGTAAAGACCTCATGCTTCTACCTAACTCAAAAGAGTTTTTCGCTCTTTCTGTAGTGGCCATTTAAGGACATCTCAGAATCAACTTCCAGGCCCAGTTCATACTAAACATGGCTAATTAAGTCTATTAAGTTATACTTGGTCGATAGCAGGTCTACACAGGAGGCTGCACAGTAAAATCCGCATACCCAAACTGTCAGAGTTGATGTTAACATTTTTAAAGTGTCTATATGGGTCCACACCACAAAGTGTTAATTTAACTCTTTTTGGAGTGTTGGTGCCTTTAACACTAATTTAGTATTATTTTTTTTTTTAATTTTTGGAGTTAAAATTTAAAACTTCTTAACAACAACCAGTGTTTTATGTAGTGTTAGACATGAACTCTTCAAGGGGATCATTTGTTAACTACACATTTAAAGGTATAAATAGAGCTCTTTCATATTCCTTAAAAACAAATTGGAAATAATTCATTAAAAAAAGGTGTTATGGACCTTTCAGACACATCACTACAAAAGCACTGCTGCGCTATGAAACTTTTTAGTTTCCATGGATTGCGTCATGGTGGTTTGTTGCTGGTTCAACCAACACACTGCTTTGTGAGCTTGCGCGCACCCTGTGGTTGAAGTTCTACTTAGTTGAACTCTTGGCTGTACCTGGTGGCCAGTGCAGTGGAAATCACTCAGAAGCCTATTAGGGTGGCTACAAATAGTGTGGCAACATGAGTTTAAGTTATGGTGGCTTACCACTGCAAAACGACCAGGTGCCAGTAGACAAATATCTCTTCATTTCCTTATCAAACATTGTTTAGACACAGATCAAAAGCACGGTCCCTAGTTTCCCAGCAGTCAGTGGAATGCTTTCATTAAGACTCACCTGGCTTCAGCCAGTGGGTGTGTAGATCTTTGCAGTGGGGGCGGGGTGACATTAACACTTCAATTGTAGAAGCCGGGATCAACACTTACAGGTTTGATTTAGTGACACTTTGTTTTTACACTCTATTTTGACACCAACACCTTATCAACTAAGAGTGAAATATAATGGATTTGACTCCATCAGAGTAGAATTACCTCTACATTTACTCAAATTTCATTTACACCAAAAGTTTAACTCTTCTCAATTTGCTGTGTAGAGATGTTCAGGACAGCATTACATCATTGACAGCTAACATTAGTGTAACCAGCCCAGCTCTAGCCTAACACGACAGATACTGGGTAAACAATCACCAACCACATGGACCAGTGCATCAGAAGAGAGTCTGCCCACAGGAGAAAGGAGCGACAAAAAGGAGATATTAAGTAGCAGGACCAAAGAAGACTCAGAAATTTAAAATGTATTGAACTTGTATTGTAAAAAAAAAACAACAATAAGTAATGCGCATATGACTGTACAGTACAAGGTGCCCTTTTCTTATTTCTTCGACTGACAATGTAACTGTCCAGTTACACAGGTGGTCAAAATCAGTTATCAATTTTAAGAAAGTTTTTAGAGGCAAATTTATCCTATTTTGCTGTTCTGACTAGATTAAGGATAGACAGCCAAGTTACTCTTTTTCATACATTATGCACCTTTAAACCTCAGGAACACATAACGCCAATGCACGAAATATAGTGTGACCCTTATAACAAAATATATATGTGACAGGGAATATGTTCAAATTCCAAATATCAGTCATTAGCAACAACTTACAAGAAAATAACATAGTTCCAGCACAGTAACGTTAGACAATGAGTTAGGTAGCTGAACAGTCTGTATGTCCCTTATTTCAGTCCACTGAAACACTCCGCAATCACGAATATGGCCTGAAATCACTGATCTGAGAGCTGTTCTATTCCAAATGTCACCTGAAACTTTACAAACCTTCTCAAAATAATCACACTCACCTTACCAAAATGACTATTCCTTACATTAAGTTTGTTTTCATCTGTCTCCTATTTAACTGCTTTTTGTCTATGATTAACCCATTATTAATTTTCTTTATGGAAAATATTAGTTAGAACAATGTAACATGGGTTACATTAGACATTGGCAAATGGTTTTAGTTGCAAAGCGACTTCCCTAAATAAATATCTCATTACTGCTGTGTCAAGGGCTCATTGTTAATAGTCTAACTGTTCCGAAGGCGTTTTCATTCTGGCAGTACATCTTTAAAGCTTTTTATTCTTAATATTTAATGGTTTTAAATATTTGAACAACATATCCATCAGCCATCAGCAGCTTAACACTGAACACAAGAATACTAGTATCCACGTCACTGTTCAAATTCAGTCTAACCCTAAACACCACAAACCCTCTGCTCCACTGTGGAAATGTGTGGCTACATAAATTCTCTCCCTCCATCCATCCCTGATCTCCAGCTGACATCCTAACCCAGCCTCCTCTTGGGCAAGAGCATCTCGGTATCCACCCTTTGAAGCTTGCAAGAGGAAGTCACCCACTAGGCACTCAGATCCCATATGGGCCTGAGCTCTCTTTGAAATACCGAACAGCAAAAATATGGAAGAAGCGGTAGAGCATGGGAGGGACTGTCGGCATGTGTAAATGTCAGAGGGATTACTGTGTGTGCATGCAAATGTACATAAGTTGTTTTAAACTTCACACATGAGTAATGAGATGTAACCAGATTGAAAAAACAAAACAAAACTAGGTCCAGTTGATAATGCAACAGACACAATTAAGAGCGCAAGCCAAGTCCAACATGTATTTCATGTGTTTTTCTAGAGACACACTGGAATGCACATAAGGGAAAGGAATCGCATGTGCAGGGCTACCTTGTGTTTATGCATGTCCAAACATCCAAACTAGTTAATCAAAGTCAATCCCATCAGTGTTAATCGCATCTGCAGCACCATCAAATCTACAATCAGATTATCCCCCATTGATTCTGAGCACCGACTCAGCACATCGACATGCTGCATATGTGTTAGGCAGCTGTGCAGAATGATCAGCAACAGGCCAGATGTTGTATCTCGCACCTCAATAATAAAATGAACCGGATTGATTAGAACTCCCATCTGCTGTGCTAGCACGATGTTAATAAGCAGGCTGCAGAGCGCTCTTCATTGGGCGGTTACCCAAGGCTAAGTGTTCAAAGGCTGTCCCACGTTATATCAGAGGAGCTGAGAGGAAGAGGTGAAGTGCAGCCCGATGAGTGTCTGCACTGCTGAGGGAAAGCATAGCCTAAAGCAGAGGAAGGAGAGACAGATGTGCTCAGAGACAGACAGCCACGAGTGGGCTTGTGCAATCAATTAAAATGCACAGCGAGGCAGAGTGAATGGTCAAGCATGCTGAAGAGTGGCTCTGTCAAGCATTTTTCAGAAGAGGTTAAACAGGTAATGTACTAATGCATTTCAGTGAGCGTTAAGCACAGAGAAAAGCATTCTGTTTTAAAACTTCCAAGAATTGGTGTAAAAAAAAAATACAGCTGTTTATGCACACATCCCTCCTAACGGCGAAGAAATACTGCACCATTCCATTTCATTCCCAATCATTGGCAAGAGGAAAAGACACTTGATTTACTAATGCCACTTTGCTTGATTTCTTGGTAACACTAGAAGTTAGAATAATGAAGAAAAAACTATCATTGCTGCTAAGGGCTTGCCAAAAAACTTTCCAAGTGCGCAAAGTTTTATGATAAAATGAGAGGGACTAAAAGAGGAATAGCAGAGCAAAGAATCGGATGGCCCAAGTGTGGGTCTGATGTTTGTGTGTGTGTGTGTGTGTGTGTGTGTGTGTGTGTGTGTGTGCGCGTGTGCCCCTTTAAATTCAGGGTACCTGGTTGGTACTTTTATGTGACTAGTAATCTGTGTTTTCTGGATGCATGTTTGTTGCATTTTACATTTTAGCTGCACTCGGAAAATTCTATCAGTAGGGAAATCTCGTATCTTACGGTAATTTAAGTATACAATATATTGTCATAAATTAAAAAGGTTATACTGTATCCTGTGTGTTAGTTTTATATATGACCATATATGTCACATATGTGCTATGTTTACCTCTCTCTGATATAGGGGGATATACATCCTTACAGTCATCACATTGCCACCACCATCATCATTTGGTAGAACGCTGTTCATCCCTAGTAGAGATTCAGAAGCTCCTCTGGAGGCTTGTGTTAGAACAAAAACATCTGGAGGCTGGATACAGAATTATCTTTAAAGTCTGCAGTGGATTAAAAATAAATAAATTATTGTGATACACAGATAGGTAACCCTTTAAAGGACTAGCAATCCTTTAAAAAAATACACTTATTTGTTTTCTTGCTGAAAATTAGATGGATTAAAACCACTCTATCTTGGTTTAGTATAAAGAACAGAAACAAAAAACTCTGCCTATAAGCACCTGCAAAGCTCAGTAATTAATGCATTATATCTCATTTGTTTAATTTGTACAAAAACCAAAGTGTAAAAAATTACAATTTGTGGTTCTGGGACAGACTCAGTTACTTCCAGGTCAGTAACAGTCAGGTCACTGACAAGATAAAGATAAGATTCATTTTGTTCCCTGTTGACAGAGTCAGGCTGGCTCTTCTATCACCGTCCTGTCTCAAAGAGCTAATATTTCCGTACTACCCCACTGTGCAACCAAAATGCAGGGTTACTTGTGGTGCCTAGGATCTCTAAAAGTAGAATGGGAGCCAGAGCCTTCAGCTATCAGGTCCCTCTGTTATGGAATCAAGTCCCTGTTTTGGTTGCAGCCAAAACATCTTCCTTTTTGAGAGTAGGCTTAAGACCTTTCTTTTTGATAGGAAGTTTATTTTATAATTTGTTTAATTTTTGATTGATTGATTGATTGAAGAGTTTTGGTAATGTATTATCTTGTTGTTTTTGACCTCAAGTATTTTATTATGTGTTTTTACTCTACCTTGTGTATTTTATTTTATTAAGTGTTTGGGGACACACTTCAAATAAACATGACTTTGACTTTAAACTTTTTTAATAAGAGCTGATGACCACATATCTCTTTTTTTCTCTATGACAGATTTGTGACAAGGAGTGGCATTACTACGTCATCAATGTAGAGTTCCCAGGGGTGACGCTCTATGTGGACGGTGTGACCTATGACCCCTACCTGGTCACTGACGACTGGCCCATCCATCCCTCACAGATTGATGTGCAGCTCACAGTCGGTGCTTGTTGGCAAGGTGAGTGGGCGGTGCTGAGTGCTGAAGATGATGATGCCAGTGGTGATAGAGTTGGTGATGATGGTGGTAATGAAACAGTGAAAAGCCCTCGACTGAAGCAAAAGTTTAATATAAAAGTCATAGTAAAATGAGGTTTACTGGGTATTCTGCCAAATTATTATAGCTTCTATGTGAGTAAGTTCAAGAAAATGAATAATATAAAGTATCATTACTAAGGGACTCTTTGGCCTTGAATGAACAATGTTATTAAGAGAAGCACTTAGTCTGCCTTTGACAAATGATTGAACCAGTCTGAATGAAGGCATACAATTAAACTGTCCTCTAAACTAGCTGCCACTAATTACACAAGGGTTGAAGAAAGGGCACTTTTTCACATAGAACAGCATACCATTGATTTGATGGCCCAAATGAGACTGCTCAGCGATGCTTAGCCTCAGATAAAAAGTCAAGATATCTTTGTGCCAGAGCAGGAGCAGGTCATCCTGTGTCGCTTTCATCTGCGGCGGTGACCCTGCTCCTCCTCCACCCCCTTCTCCTCCCCTCCCATTTCTTTCATTGAACACTGCAAGCCTTTAGGAGGATTAAAATGGGCTTGAATGGAAAGGGGAGTTCAGAGACTATTTCTGCTTTTCTAGTTGTGGGCTAAGCCTCATGAAAGAGTTGTAAAGGTGATACTGAAATCTTAACATAAGCCATTAGCCACAACAGATTGCTTTTTCAAAGCACTAAGCTTTAAGTGTCTGGCATAGTGATTGCAAGCGTATTGCAAAGATGAGCTTATTTACTGTCAAACTGGCACCTGAAGCTTCAGCTTGTGTTTTTAAAGCAGTGGAGGAAAGAAATTCAACATTTGCAGAAAAGCAGTAGTGGATGGATCTCTCCTTTCTACTACACTGCTGAATGGCGTTACAGAGAAGTTGTCAAATGATGATTTTAGAGTTCAGTCAGGACAACATGATACAGTGTGCAAATGGATGGCAGAGTAAATAAAAAAAGATTTGTCAGCTCTAAATAGTATGGCTGCAGGCAACAGTGACATTTTACAATATTTAATTCAATTTCATTATCTAATTTCATGGTTCATAACATTTAACTAGTCAGTCATCATTGTCAAATGAAAATAAATTCTGCTCTGGCCACAGTAAAGAAATATAATTTAGAATTGTCATATTTCAGATATTTATCCAAAGAAACCGTTCTAGCGTGATGAGGCAAGGTTTTAGGGGTTCAGTTTGTAAAATCTGTAATGAAACCTGTCTCAAACTGCCATTTGGAGCTGCTAACACATGAATCAGTTTTCATTAGTAAGGCATTTTTAATGTCTAAAGATTATCTACATTAATACTAAAAAGCTCAACTACAATTAAACCCATCTAACTATGAACTGTAAAGGAAGTGGTCTCCTGATCTATATAAGTGATTGATAGCATTTTTATATATAATGATATTACATCATATATCACAGGACACTTGCAACTCTATGAACATAGAAAGTACAAAGGCCCTGATATACTCAAACACACACAAGAGTCAGGGGTGAAATTCAGCCCGGGACTTTGAGACTTTTATGCGAGCGCCCCTTGGGGGCGTGGAGAATATTTTTTGCAGTTCTTTTAATACATATTAGTGTTTTTGTTGTTTACAGTGAATCGGATTATGCTGAAGACCTTCAAGAAACTTTAGGATGACACCTGCCTCCTCAGTTTGTATAAGCAAGGCAGCTCTGCACTGAAGAAGAACAAGCCTGAGTCAGTCAGAATGCTAAAATTGTTAAATATAATCAAAACAAAGCAGTCCCATAAAATAGAGCTCAGCTTCAGCTCTGAGTAGGCTTCTCCCTGGCTCAGCTTCCCCTGTGCTGGATCATCTGCTTGTGTTGATTGTAATAATAATAATAATAATCTTTATTTGTAGAGCACTTTTCTAAAACAAGTTACAATGTGCTTTAACAAGTGTAAAGACAATAATACCCAAAAGACAATAATACAAAAACAATACAAGATAAAAGCATGAAAACATTGAAAAGACTAAAATACACGTTTAAGATAAATATAAAATTAGTAAAATACAATAAAATAAAAGGGATAAAATAAAGTCAAATAAGATCGGGAAAGGCTCTCCTATGAAAGTATGTTTTAAGAAGTTTAGTTTTAAGAGTTCACTGACTCAGCTGACCTGATTTCCTCGGGCAGGCTGTTCCAGAGAATCAGGGCCCTGACAGCAAACGCTCGGTCCCCTTTAGTTTTCAGTCGAGACTCTGGAACAGACAACAGACCTCTGCCCGAGGATCTCAAGGTACGTGCTGGTGTGGATGAGACTAAAAGTTCAGAAATATAACAAGGCGAGAGGCCATGAAGAGCTTTAAAAGTGATCAATAAAATTTTAAAATCAATTCTAAAACATACTGGGAGCCAGTGTAATGAAGCTAAAATAGGAGTAATGTGGTCATATTTCTTTGTTCTGGTTAAAAGCCTGGCAGCTGAGTTCTGGACAGTCTGGAGTCGATCAATAGATTTTTGGGTTGCAATAATCCAGGCGTGATGAGATGAAGGCGTGTAAAATGGTCTCGGTGTCCTTAAAAGTTAACATAGATTGAATTTTTGCTATATTTCTAAGTTGATAAAAACTTGATTGAACAAGCTTTGTGGTGTGCTGCTCGAAATTTAAATTACTATCAAACCAAACACCAAGGTTCTTTGCCACAGGCTTAATGTGATTTACTAGGGAACCAGCAGATGGCAGTATTGTTTTGCCATCTGCTGGGACCTGATGACCAGGATTTCTGTTTTGTCTGATTCAGCTGGAGGAAATTATTTGACATCCATTTTTTAACTTCACAAAGGCAGTTGTTAAGTGAACTCAGCATTCCAGGGACTGTGGATCTGACACAAGTATATTTGTGTGTCATCAGCATAAATATGAAAAGAAATGCCATGTTTATGGATAATATGTCCAAGGGGAAGCAGATACAAGGAAAACAAAATGGGTCCTAAGACCGACCCCTGAGGCACACCATATTTAACTGGACAGAACGAAGAGACATAGTTGTTTACAGACACGCAAAACTCCCTATTTGACAGGTAGGATGAAAACCATTCTAGGGCAGTACCAGAGATTCTGTCTAACATGATGTTGTGATCAATGGTGTCAAAAGCAGCGCTAAGGTCCAGGAGTACCAGGACTGAGCACATGCCTTCATCAGCAGACATTAAAAGGTCATTGGTGACTTTAAGCAGGGCAGTCTCAGTGCTGTGGTACTTCCTAAAACCAGACTGAAACTTTTCAAATATTTTGTTATTTTCCAGTACAGTGAGCAGCTGTTTGGACACAATTCTTTCTAGAATCTTTGCAACAAAAGGCAGTTTTGAAATTGGTCTAAAATTATGTGGGAGGGAGGGATCTAAACCAGGTTTCTTTAAAAGTGGGTTCACGCAAGCCGTTTTAAAATAATCAGGGACACAACCAGTAGATAGGGAGCTGTTGAAAACAGCTACATGTGCATGAGAAGAACATCAGTAATAAATATGACTAACAATAATACTTTTTTCTTATTCTATCTATGCATAATATGGTTGCCTACCCAGCCCTGCACACTGCCCCTGTACCTGGAACTGTTTTGTCTGGTTCCATTGACCTCTTCATCCTCCTTCTGCAGCTCCTCCCGTTCCTCCTGTTCCTTCTCTCCCTCCTCATCAACATGACTGGGGTCATTATCACTCTGTCTCTCTGCATCACCTCCACTGACCATAACAGCTAATGTACATACAAAGAGATTCCACACATATAGAACAATGTTGCCTTTGTGTGATAACACATTGTTGTTTATAATATATATATATACACAAAGCTATATATATACAGTATATATATAGCTTTGTCTGGGCTGAGTACAGCAAAAATGAGGATGGGTCCAAGTTGGGAGGGGCCACTCGTATCCCGCCTCAATATTGAAGGTATTAGGTTGATAGACGCACAGACAGCGTTCGCTGCAGCTGACCGGCCGGTCAGCACAGTCGCAGATCATAAAGTTAAACATAAAAAAACTGAACAATAAATACTCTTGACCACTGGCTGGTTCGGCTTAAATTGGACCGGCTGTTCGGTAATGTTCCCGAATGCCCTGATGGCAAATCCGTCCCTGCGTACAGTAGGAGACAGTAGTGCATACTTACAGTCGGCATGCATGGTCTATCATACAGTCCTTCAAAATGAACCTGCAGATATCTGTTTGTGGACAAAACACATTATTAACACTACAGATGGACTACTAGATTGCATTGCTCATTTACATGCATGAGATATACGTGTTAGTGTAGACTCCCTGCAACAACAAAGCGGTGAAATATACAGTTGTAAAGCCTGCATTTGTACATTTTCATTCTCTCCTATTTTCTAATAGAAGGGTTGTCCTTATCCATCCTTCTTCCTTCACCTCTGAGAGTAAGTGCTGGCTGTGCGGTTTTCCCACAGTCAGCCTATATTTACCCCCTGACCTGGCGGAGTGTGTTCATGTTCAGAAGTGTGGAACAGTCATGCAGCGAAGAGCAACACACTCATCTTTTCCCTCGACTGTGTAATCACACACTGCTACTCTGCTTCCCTGGTTTTCCTCATCCCTGCAGGAAGCATGCAGGAGGAAGACGTATTGATAATTACACACATGTACAAAATCAAAGATCGATATGTGTATATACAGTATAATGGATAAATACAAGTGTTGATGCAGGTATATGTGCCACAAATGACACCATAAGTGAGGGACTCCCACACTTACACTTAAGTAATTGTCAGCTCACCCATGCCTCTCCAATCTCATCTGTTGCTCTTTTGGAAATGACGTGAATAAAGTTTGTAGAGTGAAGATTTATAGAGCAAGAAGAGCTGCACAGTGCAGCAAAGACAGCTGACACCACGTAAAAACCAGCCTCTGTAAAGTGGAATGATCATCGGTTTTATCACCCATATCATTCCCGCTCTGCAGCGTCTCGGTAATCCCCTCT